CTTGGATTCCGTGTCTTCGCTATCGAAAAAGGGCGGAAATCTGGAAATACGTGAGATCGAAAGTCCGATTCCGCAGCCCGTGTTCGTCGTGTCGACTTAATGGGCACCGATCTGGCAGTGCTCTGGCCTTAGCTTGTCACACGGCCGCGAGAGACCCGCCGCTCGCCACGTCACGTCCGGATGAATTTACATGCATAAAACGAGACGGCCGGGGTCCGGCGATTGTCGATAGCGGGTTTCCTTTTCCACCGATGACCGGATCCGGCTCGTGATCCTGCGCTGGATGGAGGATCAAATCGACCTCGATGATTAGCAGCCCGCGATGACCCTACGCGTGACGTGTGCGTGCGACGCGCTGTGGCAATGCTCGATAAGAGAAGATCGACACGAATTTTACGAAACGTCCGCGCTGCCGAGGATCGTCGCGAATCAAAATTCTTTATTCTTCGCGAACGTGAGAGTCCGCGATGTCTTTGATACATCGCTTCTTCGCGCGTCGAAACGAATAATAGATAGTCATCGACCCTGTTTTATATGTCGCATCACACCACTTCGTAAAGTGATTCGATATATGATTGCCCTATCCACTCGATGTCAATGCCTGGTCATAAATTTGTCCTATCAATTGCTCCGACCAAACAATTGAATGGGTATCTTTCCAGAGCACATTAAGGCCATATATTACACTACTTTATGTCAGTAGTACAACATAAACTATTACACGTACAATATTTTTAGTAACCCGCACGATTATTCATCTGCCACAAATGTGACGTGATCTCTCTCAGACGTTTTTCTTTTTTTTTTTAACGAGTACATAAATATTTTTCTATAAATCATTTGAAAATAGACCGTGTATAAATTAGTAATTCCATCCGAAAGGTAATCTTATATTTCCGAATTTGATCAACGTCGATAGCACTGCGCATATTTTATTCCTTTCGATCGCGCGGTTCTGAATATAGTTTAATTATTATGAAAAGTCGATCGCGAATATTTACTTGCGAATTGCCGTGGCAATATTATGGAGAATGAATGGACCGTACCCAGCGCATGTCGACCAGCTGTCGCCGGCGTGCTATCAGAGGCGAAAGGAAAGCTGGGCGTTTGCCCGCGACCAGTTTCCGGCTGCTTATCAAAATGCTCTTCCGTTCGACCGTTCGTTTCGGGTATTCAATTGTGGACCCGCAATTGCGTATTCCGCGAGGTCCAGTTGTTTTACACGATTTATTGCGCGCCGGTAAATACATAATACGTTCCCAACGTTACGGAAGTGATCTTCTGCGAACTAACTCGGAATCTAATTCATTTAAGCATTATGTCGCAGCGTTTGAAAACGCAGCGATTAGATAAAAAAAATAGAAAGATATGTCTATCGTTATATTTAAAATTTATTGCTTTGTGCTTAATGCAATCGTCGGCGAACATTCAGATGAATATTCATTTATCTTGATTCAAATTAGTGTAACATTTATATAAGAATTAATTTAATAATTTAATATCTACCTAATCGGTGACTAATTGAAGGGATTTCCTTATCATTTCCTGATAAATTTGCCAAACAGAGTCACAGGTGCATCGCATATTACGATCGTACATGATTAATTAATTAATTAATAATAGAGTAGGGTAGAAATAGCGTTCAATGAACACATGGCGTCGTGCACGTTAATTAAACGTAATCGCGGGAAAAATAAAATGTAGAGTAATACCATGTTTCTTGCTAATTATATACCACTTAGAAAAATGAATTAAGGGTTAAGGGTGTACGAGTGAAATGAGGTGGAAATATGGCATATAACAGGTTCGCTTGTTCCGCGAACGCTTGTATTCGTCTGTTATGGCAATCTCCCGTAAATTATGTTTCTCAGGTAATTGCTCGCTCGCTGAACTCCTCGAGTCAACGACGAGCATCTCTTGCTCTCTCTCTCTCTCTCTCTCTCTCTATCTCTTTCTTCTCCTCCCGGCCGTTTTATCCGCCATCTTTCTCCATCGCGTCTACCCGCTCGCCCGCGTCCACTTCACACGTCTAATAATCATGTAAAGCAGCTCTGGTTATCTGTCTGCAATAATTGCACATTGTCGAACGCAAATTCATGCGTGTATCGCGCGCCTGCGTCGGTAAGCGGACAATGTGAAGGCGTGCAAGAACGCAGACGTGGTGCCTCCCTCCTGCGACGCCCTCCGTCGTCGTTGCCATCGTGACGTCGGCGTCGGGAAGAAGGAATAAGACGTCGGAATTTTTCGCGGCGATCGTAAATTCCGCACGCGTAAATAAACCGCCGAAATTAATCACCGTTGGTCCCGACGTGAATCTCTATTCATTTCGATTCCTTCATTTGATTCATTAATGAATTAATTCTTTGGTTTTTTTCAATGTGTGACTATTTATTTATTTAAGCAAAATTAATCTGTTAAATAATGAGAAAATTTCATCAAATTTTTCACGAAAAGTAACATTAACTCTTAAATACTCTTTGGCAAAAATT